CCACCCGTCCTTACGGAGCAAAAAGTTTTCAGTTTTTAATATAGCTCGCTTGGGTCGCTCAGAGTGACTGTGACTAACAAAATTTGACCCCGTCTTACTGATAAAAAGAGGTCGACTTCTTAAAAGTCTTAGCTCAATCGTGTTAAGAAAGAAAAGCTGAACTTGGATCGTGATAAGGTTAACCCGCGTTAAAGTGCCTGGCGAGGTGGTTTAAAAAACCCTAACCTGCTTAAAAAAATCTTTCGTTCTGGCTTGATTTGCATAACCCGGTTAGAACTCGGTTAAGACTGTAGGAGACCCGGCCGCACTCCCAGTTTTTTTCAAACGAGTTAACTTTAATTAGTTGATTGGAAATAAATCGGTGAAGTCCCCAAGTGCGGCCGCAGTCAATTTGTCGAGTCTATGCGCGTCTCTTGACAATTTAAATATGTACGATCCTAAATACTACTCGGAATCTGATGTTCAGGCAATACCTTATTCAAGGTAAGCACATAATATTAATTTGGATGTAGTTTTCATTGAAATAACGAGGAAAACAAGAAGAAATTTCCAAAATTATTGGTATTTGCCAGTGTTCGCAATATATACCCATTGTTTGCAGCTTTTGACAGGTTCAAAAGTTGTGATTGTTGGCATTTTGAGAGCGTTAGCAGTCAGCGCTAATAAAGAGCCCCGAAGAAAATCCTTATTTCTTGTTTTAGTTCAACGATACCTTTTTCAAAAATTCTAAGTTTCAAGTGATTCCGTGTTTTACCGGGCAAAGAAATTATTTCTTGAAAAAATGCACCAAATTAAGAACTTTCGGCAAGCGAATTTTAGTGATTTTTGGCAGATCACCATCGGCTCGAAAATGAATCCTCTGGACTACAGATGGACTAAAATACCTTAAAGTAAGAATTTTTCTGGTTCCTTTCTCCATCGCATTTTTGAATTTGAAAATGTTAGGATTCCTTTTTCTCGGAGAAATAGCTTGAATTGCGAACGATTAAACTTCAGAAAATCGTAGGGAATTTAATATAAGATACGCTTCGAAAATTTTTCATGAATGGAACGGTCATCTTTTAGCCTTGCCTCAGACTATAGAAAATTTTAGCCAATTTTTGCTTCTTTGAACAGATATTTTACAGAAAACAGTAGTTGGGTGCCTCTGACTCGAAATTAGTGGATACTCTCTCTTAAGATGACTAGCAATGAGATATCTGGTTTTATAAGGTTCTTTGGTCACGAAACAAATTACCAGTTCCTTTTGGTAAGTTAGTTTTCCCTATTATTTACCCTTATTTCCTAGAGATAAAATGAAAACCTGTAGCTTCATAACAAAAGAAGTGTCTCACTGAGGTCATAGGTCTTCTTAATGACCGAGCGCTTATCGTGAGATCATTATTTATTAACATGTGGCCTGACGTGTACCGGTTGGATGCGCCGTTTGTATGTCAGGTCCAAGGAGGATTGGAAAGTCTCCTCAAAATCCTTTTGCTTTGCATTTATATTATCAAAATTTTTGGCACACGTGATCAAAACATTTCGTCGAGGTCGCATCACAAACGGCGCTGACTTTCGCGTAAAAAATCGAAAGAAAGGTAGTTTATCATCATTCATCATTCTTCGAGCGTAGGAAAGTGTTTATTTAGAACAGTCTCTCTGTCTGAAAGTGAATCTATTTCTTGGTTGCTATCAGTTTGTCTGAGGAGGTTGTGGGGCGAAGCATGGTAAAAAAATGAGCCTCAGTCTCTCGTCATCATTATTTTGAAGTTCTCTTAGGGCGGTTCACTATCAAACCTAGCAACCAACTAAACCGCCCACATAGAATCATAGAAGTTGAATTGAACTTCTCACTATATCAATCAGACAAACTCCTACCCTGGGTTATCCCGTTTGCCTATGGTCTACTATCGGTCACCTTAATCGCGGGTAACTTGAAATTTCTACTTAGAGAAACTATCCCTGAATTTTACTGATAACTCGAATATGTTAATTTCGATTAATCAAACAGTCCGGTTGTTGAAATCGTTAGAATAGAGTAACAAACAATTCAGTCACATAAAAGTCATTGATTTTTGTCCTCGCCTTGTTGCGAAAAAATGTCCAAACGAGCGGAATTTAGTAATGTGAGTTCCTTGGCCTTTATTTCTTGATTTATTAACTTATATGTACGCGTAGTTAACGTAGATTCGTCGAAGCCTTTGGTACGCAGGATTTTGTTGCCTTTATACGCTGCGTTGCAGATTTTTCTTATTCTCGAATTCTCTGTCTTTCCTGGGCCCTGCAACTTATTCGATACTAAAAAAATATGCCCATTCCACACATCTTTTGATTAAAAAGTATTTGGGGTAAATAACGATGCGGTATAATTATAAACGTTTACACGGCCTGCAGTCTAATCCGTCACTATTTTATCATTGGAGAATTGTCTTAAACACGCAGGCAGAACAGTTAACGTTATCCTAGGAACCCGGGAAGGAATTATCGTTAACATTTTTTTGTAATCAAGGTAGTTTTGCAGAAAAATAAATCCTGTTGGCCTCGATTTTTCTTCGCCTCAGCTTGGTTTTCTTGCCTTGATGGACTTTTCTCCCCTTTTATTGTCTGTTTGCGAAGATACACTGACCAGAGAAGAATTTAACACTCGTTTTAACTTTAAGGCACTTAATATCCTTTAGGAAATTTAATTCCATAAATGATATGGGTTTCATTATGCTAATCACAAGTGATACGAGTGCGATCTTTCAGCGAACAAATGATAAGCGCAGCGTTTTCACAGGTCACGGCAATAACAACAAACAAAGGGATTTTCGACGGCTTTGTTTGAAATCAATATTAGGCGACCTTTGGAGACCTTTGCATCATTTTTAAGAAAAAATTATTGATCTTTAATCTGGTGAAGTTTTCCGTCAAAAACTCTCACTTTGAAATGATTTTTTTATCGTTTTTGGTGAGTGTCTTTCGCAGTAAAATATGGCGCGCTAAATGAGCGACATAAGTGCTTGTAATAAATGGAATTTTTATCATCTTCCGAGCGTTATATCTCCATTAAAAATACACAGAGAGAACGATAATAGCAAAATAAAGATTTCCTACTTTTTTCTCTACTCCATCGCGGCGTACAAAGTGAAGGAAAACGACATCAAAATCTTGGAAATTTTCAACTTGCCAAACTTAATTTCCCCCAAAGTGGCAACACGACAAAACCCGTTTCGCAAAGACTCGCGGGAAGACCTTCCAATCTTCCTTGGAAAGATATTGATCGTTATTTTACTTTTTAGATATATTTTTGACGGGGGTTGGGGGACTTCCGTTAAATACAATATGAAAAGTCGAACTCTTTAGCCCCTTTTATAGGCTACACTAGAAATGATTTGCCACACGAATCCCTCTGAATAGCTTAAACTTATTACGCCAGACTGTCGAAAATAACTTTGGTGGAACCTAACCTGACATTGCATCGATGAGAGATTTTTAAGTAACAGAGGAGTAGTTTTAATATGAAATGATATAAAACAACCAGGACTGCACGCTTTCAGCGTACCCTCTCTTTGTTCCACAAATTACTCAAAATACGCACGAAACCAACATAGTTGAAAGGACAAATGATATCCATCAATGCAGGTAAAGTACAAAGAACTGTGAACCCAGGGAGATCGGAGTTTTTGCAACCTTTAATTCCTTTTATTAACGATATATGTTACAATATGTATATATTATAAACTTTATAAAGAAAATGATTCTCTATTCTTCATTTAATAATCGGCGTCGTGTTGGGGGTCTGCCAACACGCTCTCTCATTGTTTCGCATCACCAGCTTTCACCCCAGATTTGACCCAAAATTGTGTCCAGTTACCTCATCTTGACCATCAATCTTGACCTACACCTGCCAACGAAATGGTGTTGGTATTCAAGCGGATGGAAATTCACGTCGTCAACCATGACATGGTTAGGTTACCGATAAAACTTGTTACCGCCAACACCTTTTATCATTTTCTCTGGAGCGCAGTTTCAAGCAACTGGAGAGCTGAGTGACTTGTTTTGCCAACGAAAAGAGGTGAGTGTGCTTTTTAGAACTTGTCGTCATAATAAGGGCAAAGGAATAATATATTTTTTGTTTTCAGTTTGTTTGTCGGTTGTAATTTTTTTTCTAACATTTTTTTGCAACATAATAATTCTGGTAAAAAGATGAGCCTCAGTCTCTATAGTTATCATTATTTTGAAGTTCTACTAGGATGTACCAAACCTAGCAACCAACTAAACCTCCCACATGGAATCTAAGTTGAATTCAACTAACCACTATATTAATCGGACAAGCTCATACCGCCCTGGGTTATCCCGTTTGCCAGTCATTTACTGTCAGCCACCTTTATCTCGGGTAACTTGAAATTTCTACTTAGAAAAACTCTTCCTGAATTTAACTGATGACTCGAATATGTTAATTAAACAGTCCGGTTGTTGAAATCGTTAGAATAGACTAACAAACAATTCAGTCACATAAAAGTCATCGAGTTTTGTCCTCGCCTTGTTGGGAAAAAATGTCCTAACCAGCGGACTTTCTTATCAAAAGTGCCTTAGGTACATCGGTATTAGAAATGTTTTGACAGAGCCGTTCTAGAGTGCAAGGAATCTTGAAGTATGACCATTCTTCGTTGGTAGATTGAGAGTTTCTTTGACGGCTGTAGGGCGCTTTTGTTTGCTCTCATTTCTGTTCTGATTCTGTTCAGATGGAACGAAAAGCGTTTCGGTGCTTTGTTGTACATTTCTGTGAGGAGCATCTTTCTTCGATACGTTTCTGCTCATTGGGAATGAAGTTGATCTTGCATTTCTAGAGTAAAGCCACTGAGGAACCGATTGCCCGACTTCTGGTATAGCTGATTGATGGGATTCAACTTGGGGAGCATATTGGTTTTCATAGTATGGGTCTACCATTCCTCAGTCGTCTAGAGATAAATTTCGTCAATATATCTCCTGTAGGGCCGGGCTTATCATTAGTTACGAGGAAAGGGTAATGGTTTCTGGTCTTTCCATTAATAGGAAGGACAGAACGCCTGAATTATTACAACCAAAGTGGACTTTCTGTTTTGGCGAAAAAAATTCAGAGCTGAGAAGTGCAAATAGCGTGACTGTAAGAATTGGCAATTATTCGATGAAACTAAATAGGATGGCTAGGCAGAAATCTCTCAGATCACACGAAAGAGGCTATTGTTTTGTTTTTCAACCAAAATATTTTAGAGTTTAAAAAAAGTTACCAATTTGTTTCAAAATAGCAGTTTTTTTTATATAAAATCGTTAAATAGGAACAGGCGACTTGCCGCTTTGCCCATATTTCGGACGGTCAAGTCGTGCCTCTTCGCCGATGAAGTATCGGGAAAACTAAGTGGCCTTTTTACGTTTTCTCTTACAGACTCCCCGCTGGCTATATTGATTTTTTTCAGATCCGACAAGTAACGCTTTTACGATCCAGACTAGTGTAAAAAGACATTTGGTTTTAAAGGGGACGAATCACGACAATCCAGTTCCTTTTGATAAGTCAGTTTTCCCTATTTTCTAGCCTTATTTTCCAGGGAAAAATGAAAAAGCCGTAGCTTCATGAAAAGACCTGTCTCCATGAGGTCAATCAAAGGTCTATTTTTGAGAGGGGAGAAAACAACCCACTACAATATTTAACAATTATTCTTTGAAATCGAGGTGAATAGTGGCAAAATATTTACCGAGCCGCGAAAGCGGCGAGGTAAATATTCCCAAAGCCACTATTCACCGAGATTGAGAAGAATAATTGTTTTAGTATATACACACGAAGTGATCTCAACAAAATCAGAAAGGAAAATGGCGGCTCGGTTGCTCGAGGTAAGAGGTCGTCTTCCTGTATCATTCTTTTTCCTGTTTACTTGAAATGTAGAATTTCTGCAAACATTATACCTGCCAACTTTTTCTGAGATGTAGGCGTGAGATTTTTATCCTGGGAGTGCTGGGATTTTTGAAAACGACACGATCATTTCCGAAGATTCCCGAAGAAGTCCGAAGTCTTCCGAAGACGTCCGAAGTCTTCCGAAGACGTCCAAAGTCTGCCGAAGGCGAAGTTATCGAGAAAACGCTTATCCACAAAATCAGAGATCGCGAGGAAGGTATTGTCATTTATTCATTTTACACATGGTTTTCGTTCCTTACATGGGTCTGAGTTAACATATTTTTGGAAATTGTGTCAAGCAAGACGGCAACAACTCACATTTTTGAATCAGGCGTGAGAAATTGGTCCGCAGGCGTGAGTGGGCGTGAGATCGAAGTTTTCAACCCGCAGGCGTGAGACTCACGCCTAAGGCGTGAGAGTTGGCAGGTATAAAACATTTCCTTTTAAATTTGTTTGTCATAAATAAACTTCGATTTTTGAGCCAAAATTTTCTTCTTAGAAAACGCTGAGTTCACGAAACGGCTTCTTCTACGCGAATACACGGGAGTTGTAAACAATCCATCGAGCACAAAACTCCTGCTACAGTAAATTGAAAAACGCCGTATTGAATCCTTCCAAGTCTTTTCTTGCCTTAAAAAAAGTCAGCCCTAGGATTTTGTCGACTTTTAAAAGATCGTTCTCTAAAAAAAACGGGAAAAACACCGAGCTCACACATTATCCACTCGCTAGGAGGTGAATATTGTTGAATAGTCCGAGATAGCGAACCAATCAGATTGCTTAAATCACCAAGATCACTGAGTGTGTATATACTAAAAAAAAATATAACCCTACAATATAAAAAAATTCCCTATTGTTGAATAAAATTTCATCCCATACATATAGTCCATCAGCTGAGAGCCGAAAATTTGGGTTTATGGCTCACTCGAGGGGAACAGCCGAAACATGTCACATATTAATCTTTGACTATTAAGCATTACAAAAATGCGTGATAGCAAGGATAAAATGGTAGCTTTCACTTTGAAAATCGAAATTTAAATTTGCCCCTCATAATCTCCTTTTGGCCGCCATCTTGAATTTTGGGGAGGGCCTAAAAGTTGCTTATATTCTTTTAACTTAAACAAATGTTGTTTTAGCGTAGATTTAAATCATATTTGAACTAAAAACATGACTTCCGTTTATTCTAGTGCTTAAATTATAACTACCTGAGGTCCTATGCCTTTGAATCAACATTGAATCAACATTGCCCGTTATTAGTCATTCAATAAGACCGGCAGTTCGCTATTTGTTTAACAACTAGAAAAAAATGTAAGGTTTAGAAAATTGTTTCAGAAAAGAGTAAGTAAATAAATCATATGTTTACATTGCAAGTGTATTGAATAGAGTCTCCTCTTGAAAACAATTTCTTAGTGGAAAACCTTATCCAGTCACGCGTCCATGACCGGAATTAGTTTTAGAAGTTTCAGTTGAATGTGAATTCCCCGCACGTCTCATCAACATCAATGTAATGGCCGAACTAAGTTCACCAACGAGAGAGATTTGTAACTCGCTAAGCTTGTCTACACAGAGGTAAGTGATGACTAACTGCACTCCTTTGGCAAGGGAAAGCAGCCAGTGAAAAACTTTGTAATGAGCCGTTGCTCATCCAATCACGCGCTTTCTTTGATCCAGTGAAGAAAGCCAAGGTGAAGGCCGTGCATAAGGTTCGCGACATGGATCTAGTACTTCCTCTTGAGCTTGGATAACACTTATGGGACTGTTCCAGCAAGTTGAGAACAAAACCGGCAGTTTCGATGAAACTGCAGGCTACAGAAGTTGTAGATCTCCTCTGGAGCAATGTTCCATGTGGTCGCTTAGAGTAACGAACTTCGCGCAGCAGGTGCGTAGACGAAGTGGCTGACGTGTAGCGCGAGGTGTTGATCAAAAATGTCAAAAGACTGAAAATAATGTCAAATTTCTTGTGCCCGACACGGCAAAACTGAAGCATTTACAAGCAGACTCGGCAACTGGATCATGGACTCCCGTGTGACCACTGAAGACCAGTCGGGCGACTACAGGCAGACACATGGTGACCAGAGACCCAGTTTCTGAGGTACAGTTCCGTGACGAAGAGGCTGATAAGCGTATTGTTCTGTATGCTCGGCTTGCGCGTGGGAATGACAGTGTGATGCACTCTTATACACTGACACTGAGACTGATGTCTTAATTTGTCCTAGCGAAAACTTGACTTTGAAAAGGTGCTACGTGAAAAACGGAAGAGGCGCGAACATTCTATGCAACTTGACCCAGGCGATGTTAACCACTGCTTCATGAGGAGCCCTTACAGGTGTAAACTCGAACACAGGCTGTGATAACATCTCTGCCTTCTTTAGTAAAGGGAAGTGGAAAGCAGTCCAGCTTCTCCAACCAATGGAGGGTACGTCCGAGTTATGGCGAGTATTGCGGGAAAGAGTGATGAGTATCCAATGAGAACTTTAAACTCAAGATACGGAGGCACGCGTATGTGAACTGTACGGAAAGAAGTGGTATAGTGCGCTGCTACGAGATTCATCCCCAGCTTAAGGCTGCAAGGCCAAGCTGGAAAATCTGCCGCCATGCGAGTCATCTTTTCGACTTACAGGAGCAAATATCAAGCCTCAATGTGAAGAAGAAACATCGTTCTGCTCCGCTCCTTGGCACGTTACGGTAGAGTAGTTGCAACTCATGCGTATGAACCTTTCTTCAGCTTATGATGTTAGAGCAGAAAATGCTGTACATGTGAATCTATGTTTATGTTAAATTTTCCAAACGCGAATGTCAGCAGTGAAGAATGGTGTTATGCTAATGATGTCAGTTATGGGATCATAGTCTTTTTGTTCTAAAACAAGTTCTGAAGCACGTTTCGACGAGGGGGGAGGGGGCACTCCCTTATTTCGCTTATACGGGTCAGGTATGTGCTGCTAAACACAATGTCTTGAAAATTAAACAGGGTGTAGAATTTTACTATTTTCATAGTAAAATTCTAATTATTTATTTTATTATTTTAATGGCAAAATTCTATTATAATAGTAAATTCGCTTAAAGGCGTCTTGAACAGTGTCTTTTTGCGCTGGAAGCCTTAAAAAGACTGTGAAGGCTTGCGATAAGCAGTTTACAGTTGCAATACCAATAATTTTTTTCCAATGTATCTATTTCTGTGATGTTAGTTTGATAAACTATTTGATTCTTTGTGTAAAACAAAAAAAATCAATGTCAGAATCTTAAACAGCGTAGAGGTTTGAAGGTCTCGGGGGCAAAGCTATACTAAGACTTCCCTTTAGTGCACCCACCCCCCACCTCCCCCGAGCAAGTTATCTGCTCTTATTTGTGCCTTATTGCCTCTTGGTAGAGGTATGAATTTCTTTCCCTAGAAAACGAAGTTACAAAGGTCTAAACATGTTCCGCTAGCATTGTGATTTCGATGGCCTTAAACCTTCGACGACTGCTTTGGCCATTATCACTCCATATGGAGCGATGCATGATCATGCATGTTTTCCTTCCTAAACCCATTTAGCTTTCAGTTCAAGTTAATACATTTGTAAGCAATAACGTCACAAAAGGTATCCAGCGATATCTCGTTTTGGATATTCTGACTAATCCTAACAACATTACACTCACAAAAAAGGTAACATTTTGAGGAAAAATCCACTGGCAATGTCGCTGTTCATCTGCTACTCTTTGAAGAATAAATTTTTCCCTTTCCTAAAAAGTTGGCCAGCCACAATTCCATGCAAAACAAAGACGATAAAGTGGGCAAACTGCTAATAAACAAGAAAGGCAAGATCGAATAGATTCGCAAATAAAGTCAAAATTTTGGCTTGTGCGCATGCGTGAAAAACAAAAAAGCCGTTTAATTACTTCCGATTAGTCGGAAAATATGCATTTTTTGATGCAAAAACCATTTTTAGCCATTCTTTTAGCCATGCTAATTAGCCGAAAACCAATCCAAACAAGAGGAATTTGTGAAAAAATGCGGTTTTTTCGCTACTCGCCGGCCGTCACCAAAGGGTTAAAGAAAGTTACCAATTTGTTTCGAATTGACCTTTTTTCTCATCAAAAATTTGCCCATTCAAAAAGGTTTGTAATGTTTGCCCAATGTATGTTTAATTAAGGTTAATGGCAATTTTCTTATTTAGATGAAAACAGTTGGCTAATTTTTGCAAAATGTGAACTAGAGGAACTTCACATCTTGACTGACCTTAACAATGCTAAAATAAATCTGTAGTTGTTTAATCAAAGGTTTGTTTATAAATCCAAGAAGGTTTAAGTGGCAAATTTAAAATTCGATTTACAAAGTGAAAGCTACCGTTCTATCCTTGCTATCATGCATTTTTGTGATGCTTTTTACTCAAAGATTTAGATTATACATGTTTTGTTTGTTCCCCTTAAGTGAGCCATACAACCCCCCTAGCTGATGGACTAATACGTTGAAAAGTACCTTTCACTAAAGAATGAAAGTATTTCCTCATAAAATTTGGGCAAGTTTTCAAAGAATTTCGCATTATAGTTACAATTCAATATGAACTCTAAGCCTCTCTATCTCTTAAAGAAATGGTCTGGAACTTTCTTCCAGTTCTGATGGCCTCCGTTTAAAAGTCTCGGAATCCATGCTAGTCTTAAAGCTTTTATCATGCACTCTAAGACCATTGCTGTAGTCTTGATAAAGACCAGTTCTTTTTATTTTGTCTTTTTATTCTTTCACAAATACTCGAATAGCTTTCTGTTAATAGTAGGAATCACTTCTTTTGGTGCGATGAGATGTAAACAAATTGAGATATCCCTAAAGATTTGATAATTAATTCGGCTTTCGAACAAGGTTAAGTCGCGCGCCGCACTAATATTTTAAAGTTTGTTTGCAGTTTGTGAATTTTAAATAATCGTTCCCCTTTTGATCATAGGATAAGTAAATTCCCCAAAATCTTGTCGAGCACTTCATCCACTTAAGGCCTAAACGTTTATCTTTACTATTGAACAACCTGCCTAGCTGCATGGCCTTGGTTTTTTTTATTACGAGATGTTCTGAAAGATTGTTAGAATAATACGCAGAGCGTTTTCTACAGAAGGCATATCAGCGCAAACCTGTGTCGTCTGTGAATTGGCCTAGTTTTACCTCACCACCACAAAGCCAGACTCCCTTGACACCGTCGCTTTGGCGAATTTTGTTGGACATGAGTTCTGCAGTTAAAAAAAAAGGAATGGAGAAATCGGACACCCTTGCCTCACTCCTCTGCTTGGTTTAATCCATTCTGAAGCATAACCATTGTCACAAACTGCGCTTTCTATATACGTTTTCTGTAAAAGGTTTGGACCCTCCTTCTAAAACTTCCACCAAAGTCATGGAGTTCTAGCGCCCTTTGTACACTTGACCATTCTACAGTGTATCAAAAGCCTTACGGAAGTCTATTTGGAGTAATATACCGGAACTTTGATATATATTTTTTTGCTCTAGCAAATCGCAAAAAAGTCTTATGTTCTCGCCTGATATATATCCACCTTTGATAAATCCAGTCTCATCCTTGGGGGAGTACGGGTTCCATTCATTCTGCCATGGCTTTCGATGCAAGTTTGTAGTCCACATTCAGAGGGGTTATCGGACGTCAAAGGTCTGACAAAGAGCTTTCTTTTAGTACCAGTGTTATCAAGCCTCTGCGCTGAGAGAGTGACAGTTCACTCTTTAATTTCCTGAGTCATATTAAGACTTTCAAAAAAGTCTGCTCCCAGGATATCGAAAAATACCGTATAGAATTCTGCTGGTATAGCCGTCGTTACTGGGCGATTTGCCAGTACCAAAAGACGCTAGAGCCTCTTTGCCGCATTCCTCATAGGTCAGAGGGCCTTCCAGCTTGGGTATCACCCCCTTCTCTAAGACAAGGGATATTCAGATTGTGAATAAAATGTTGAAATTCATTCTCCGCCTCGATAATTTGGGATGAATATAAGTTGTCGTAGTAAGATTCTAGTTCAGTGCAAAAATTCTACTTATCACTTATAACATGTTCCCCGTCTTCATTTGCAACCTCCGATATAACCGTTCTGTCTTAATTTGTTTTTTCCAAGTTAAAGAAATACTTTGTAGGACGCTCTCCTTGTTCTACCAGCGGCATTTGGTTCTAAAAATTAAAGCTCGGCCTTTCCGTTCTTAAATTGTTTTGGAGATTGTAATCTCTATAGTAAAATTTGCATTTATTTTGGTGCAAATTGGCGTAATTTATGGTGAATGTTTCACACATCTGACAGGCTTGTATATCCTCCAATTCAATGTTATGCCGGATACTTTGTGTTAAAACCGGCATTGATATTAGGGTCATGGTAACATGTTTCTTAAGGCTCTATTTGATGTTGCCCTTAATTCTCAGTATTATCGAAGCAAGCAGCTGACCGCAAAAGCTACCTCCCAATGACTTTATTGATGGATAGAAGTTGTTTCTCACTTTACATCTTGTCCAGGGCGTAAGAAGCTAGGGCGTTGAAACGAGCGGGGTCGAGCGATCTAGATGTGATGCAAGGGTCTGGGTACTTCCAAAGAGACAAAACAAGATGGCGGACATTATACTGGACCATCAAAGAGATTATCCAGCGAAAGTTAGCCATTATCCCGTGGCATTCATTTGCTGCAAGCAATAGCGAAGGGACAAATTATTTTTTCTCACCTTCGTTTTCTGTTTTGTTCAATTTTTCCCCGCGAACAAATATCTGTATTGACAAGAGAGGATAAAGGGGACAGAGAAGGCATCCCCGATACACACCCTATTCCATAGGTAATTCGTCTCGAGTTATTTTTAAGACCATAGATCCCAAGGGGGATTAGACAACAGCCAATAACATAGCACGAATGTGTTCGGCGTGGATGACTTACGCTCAGAGCCGCGCGTCCTTCACGAATTGACGTGGAAAAAAAATGGAAGAAGACGCGGAGAGCGATATTGCTATTTGTTTTGTCGTCGAAAACGACTAAAGAGAGATTTCTGATAAAGCTGTGTCAGCGAAACGGAAATTAAAAAAGAATCGCCCTTCCTCTCTTGTATAGAGCTAACAGTACAGCAGGGAAATCCTTAACACAATGAATTTTCTCTCAGGATCATTTATAATTTACAGTTTGAAGAGAGCAATTTCTGGTTTGATATTTATTCTTTCATTAGTCTTTTATTATTCGACAAAAATAACACTTGGCATCCTACTTGCTTCGTTATACAAACGACCGGTTTCAATAGACCGGCGAAATTTCTCATTTTATTAAAGCACAGCGGTTACGACAACTTCGAGTTAAAATGATTTCACGGGTTGTCAAAGAGTCTAGTGATTCCCTTTTCCCAGGTGAGCGCCGACTCATTTCGCTTCAATATTCAAAAATGCTCTCGATCTCTTTACGCTTTCATTGCCTTTCGCCCGACATGTTTTGCACGGCGTTTAGTCATGCGAAACCTCCACGAAACATCCACGCAGCGCGCGAGGAAAGTTTATCCCGATTCTAAAAATAGCTCCAGACGAATTACCTATGGAGCAGGGTGTGTATGGGGGATGCCTTGTCTGTCCCTTTATCCTCTCTTGATATCATGTATTACAAATTTCGCTCACAATCATAGGTTTTTGGGGTTCTCGATATGCCAAGTCAATAGGTGCGGTTACACACACCAGGCTTTCCCGTGGTAAATTTGCCATGGTAATTTTTACTCGGATAAACTTTACCAAGGTGACTTGCGGTTACACGTAAATTTATTTACTATGGTTGATTTCACGCAATTATTCTCCCGGGAAACACTTGAAGGACTTTCAGGAGGGTCTGAATGGGGTGGTGGCTTTTACGGTTATCGGCTAAAATTTTGGCTCTTTTACGGCTATCGGTTAATTTTTTTCAGTTACGGTTATCGAAAAAGTTAAAAATTAACTTCTTTTGTTTCAAAAAGTTAAATATTAATTAACTTTTATTTTTTGTGTCTTTAAATGAAAATAAAGGTCTTCGGATCATCTCGGAATGAAACAAGCTATTCTTTTGAAAGATTTTAACATTTGATAGATCATACTTTTTACAAAGTGTTTCACTTCTAATATTATTTTACACATAGAAATGTCAATACTCAATTAAAAATAATCTTTGTGGAAAAGCAAAAGCGGACACGCAAACGCCCAACTCAAGGCCGAGGCGCGACATTCGTTATAACAGAATTTCCGTTTTCACATTAGAGACGGATTATTCGTGTGAGACAGGTTATCCGTTTGATGATTCACGTCAGATAGGTAATACTTCTTTATTTGAACTATGGAATAGTTTTAATTTTGAATGAACAATCCGCCTGACTTTATCCGTCAATTTCGACGTACAGTTTGAAGACGGGATTATCCTTTCCAGATAGCCAGTGTACAGCCGCCCCCTCCTCTCTGAAAAAATCGGAGAAGGGGTGTCAGTGGGGAGGGCGCGACTGTACACAGGTTAGTCTCAGACGGATAATCCATTTCTAGCTCTAGTGTTAAAACGGCCAATAACAAAATTCCCGAGTCCAGTGTTTTTAATGATAGCGAAGGACTGTACGGAACGACTGTCTGCCATTGCCTTTTCCGTAGGCCTCATTATTCCGCACGGCTAATGCGTTTCGGGTCACGTGGTCCTAGCGAGTTCGCCACCGAAATGCCTTGACCGAGATTGCGTGGGAAGACGCCGTACAGGGACTAGGCATGGCAATGTCTACCGTAGCGTCAGAGAAAAACAGGGAAATGTTGTTTATCGGCAACGAGTTTTACAAACAGTGACATCTCTGAGTGTTGTTTCACTATTGTTTCGAGGGCACGACCTCCTGAAAATCGCAAATATTAATCCCCAGGAAGAAGCCACACTTTCGCTATGCAAAAAATTAGTTCCCCGAGAGAGTGGCGGAAATGGAGCCTAGGTCTTGGTCAACACCTAAAAGGCGCTTCGCCTAACGTGCGTACGGAGTCACAATAGCCGGGAAATAAAAAACGCAACCATAAGTGAGTTTAGTACCTCCCTTAAAAGTAGCAAATCTAGGGAACAGTTTCTTTTACGGTTAACTCTTTTTTACTCTATTTACGGCTAACGGTTAAAATTTTTCTATTTTTACGGCTATCGACTAAATTTTTGGCCGTTTTACGCCTATCGGTTAACCCCATTGAGACCCTCTTTCAGAGCGAGCGCGATTTTCGGTTTTAAAAAACTGTTGATATCCGGGATAAAAAAACATAACCCAGATGGTCCAGGTTCAATTTCTTATGTTTCAGAATCAAGTGAACAAGCGAGTGAATCCAAATTCGATTTTACCCTGCAAAAAAAAAAAAACAAAAACAAAAAACAAACAAACAAACGTTTGCTCAAATTGTCTGGTGTGTAACCAAAAATTTCAAATGTTATCTGAAGACAATTTTGAAATAGTAACTTATCCAACGGTGCCATCCGGCTATCACAACAGATCGCAACGTGTTAGTCTTCTGGTGATATTGGAAGGAAAGGCGCTAATTAGGCCGTTGATGATAAACAAAATTCTTTGTCAACTGGAGCTTTTGTGGTCTTCTATCTTACCTTGGGCAGCAAAAAACCGTTCCTAAGTACCACGTTAATGTCTTTCGCGCTTTCTTTATTCTTTTTCACGTATCCATGGGTATTTAACACGGGAAATTTACCTTGGAAAAGCCCGGTCATACGCACTAACAAAATTTCCCGCGGTAAAAGAGTCCTTTTTTACCACGGTAAAAGTGTCCCTTGTAACCGCACCTAATACAGGGTGTCCCAAAAGTTCGTTCCTCTAATTTCATGCGCTATAACTTTTGATAAAAACTTCATTTTTACATGAAATTTCTAAAATATGTTTCTTACGCTATCGAGTACTTGTGTTCAGATGTTCAGTTACCGGCATCCCCCCTTTGTTTCTTATCACACTCTGTAGTCGTTGCGGCATTAAGTGAGATAAGCCATGTAGCAGGTAGAGCCCTAGATGTTTCATTTTGAGCTTTTTTTTATCACCCAGTATGCATGAGTCCCTTCAGCCCCCAAACAATATAATTTTTTACATTAGGCAGCTGAAACAATGTATTTTGGGCATTGATCCAAGGAAAGATGATCATTCCGTCCCCTTTCCACAGTAAGGCTTTTGTTCTTCTTTACAAATTTGAGACGAGCTGAACGTTGCTTGGCAGACGGCCCTGGCCTGGAGTAAAGTTTTTTTTTTTGCCATCTCAGGGGTCTCCAAACGTTGCTTTTCATGAACCTGCTCCAGAATTAACTTGCTAATTGTTGTAAGAGCTGTCCCGGTGGGTTTCCTGTTTTGTACTTGGCCTTCTTTAAAACTATTTTAGCGGTTTTATTCAGGACTTTCGGTCTTACCCCTCGTTTCTTGTCTGTAAAACCTTCATTTCTCTATGACCATCTTACCACCCAACATTCGGATTTTTCCATTTTTTTGGGAATTTGTTTAACTGATAAGCCAGTAGATAGAAATAGATGCTTCTGCTTGCACGTAGCTGAGTGTTTTTTCGTTGAGAGGGCTTAATCTTTCAGGATATTCACACAAAACAAGTTAGGAGTTCGAGCATTTCGGGCTACAAAATGCAAAAAATATATGGCGGGAAAATTTACTCGGGCAGCGCACCTTTGGCGCGAAATTACACAAATCGATTTCGAGTCAAAAGATGGCACAAGAAGTATGAAATATTAAATTAGGGAAAGTTCATTTAATATGACAAGGGGGGGGGGATGAAGATATTGAAACTCGAAGCTTGAAATTTTAGCAGCTCCCTCGCTAGCGGTTCAATTTTTAGAGCCCCTCCTTGGTAGTCGAAAAAATTTCAGAGCCCCCCCCCACTCCTCCTTCAATTCCTTTGCTCCCCTGAAAAAAAGATCGCTAGACTGTATTTAATATATTCACCGTTATTGTATTCAATGGTTTATGCTATGACAAACTTGAGATACAGTTGTGATACAATTTTCTAAAGCATTTTTGGGATAAACAAGAGTGTAATAATTACTGAGACTACATTTGTTATATCTGTAAACCACGTGATATAGCGGAGTTGCACAGGTCATTAAATTGTTGAGTTGAAAACCATCCGATCTGTATGATGATGTCATGTGTTGGTTTTGAAGTATACAAATTTTCGGAGCCCCCCCTCCTAGCGCAACAATTTTTTTCAGAGCCCCCTTCGGGTGTCTAAAATTTTCGGAGCCCCCCCTCAATATCTTCATCCACCCCCCGCCCCTTGTCATATTAAATGAACTTTCCCTTAGATTGAAAGTCACATCTTGGGTTTAAATTATGTGCTGATCAAGTCCAATCGTACTGCGTTACAGACTTATAAAGTAGAGGAACGAACTTTTGGGACACTCTGTATACTGTACATATACACTATTGTGTCGTTTTGTTGTGTCAAGTTCATTGTGTTATTGTGTAAGTGCAAGGGATCTGCTTTCTTTGTGACGTAACTCCTAAAGACTTACTATCCACTTGGTATATCGTGCACCAGCCGGTTTTTAAATTGATTATCGATCGAGAATCTTAGAGCTAAATTTTGGCTTAAGTTTATAATTTTCAGAATTTTTCGGCAAAATGCCCGATAAAATCCTTGTTGATGTGCTCTTTCGTGTGTTTA